ACCGATCCGCCACCGTCACTTTGTTAAGCCCTCGGTAGTCCCCACACATCCTCCTGGCCGACACTTCCCCCGTGAGATCTTTCCGTGCAGCCACCACCGTTGCTGCTGCATAGTCACTGTCCGAGTTCTGGATGAGGCCCGCAGCCAATAGCTCGGCACACTTCTCCCTGCAGATATCTAGGTCCCCGGGACTCATCCTCCGTTTCCTCTGGTATATGGGGACTTCTGTCGTCAGTTTCACTTGCATCTGATGCGTGTTGCACTGGCCCAGCTCTTGCAGGGTATAAGCGAACGTCTGCCGGTGCATCCTCAGCACCTCCTGCAACGCTCGCGCCGCTTCTGCCCCCATTCCTGTGCCAATGGGCCAGTCGTCATCCGGGCCCCTTTCCTGACTTGGCCTCTCCGCGGGGGCTGGCAGTTCTCCGTCCGGAGGCAGCAACCCCTGATCCGCACCTCTCTCCGTTACTCCCACGGCCATGTAGGCCCATCCTTCTAAAATCCGCGCCTCTTCCTGTTCTTCTATCGCTTGCAGTTGGCGCCGCTTCATCTCAGCCTCCTCCTCCTCCTGGTACATCTCGCTGACCTCTATGCCGCGTTGCAGCTCCTTCCGCTTCAAGTGCATGCGGATAGTCTCCACTAGCCACGCCATGACGTTCAAATCCATAGCTCGGCCCAGCGCCGCGCGTCTCTGGGGCTCCGTCACTCGAGGATGGGCGGTGGCTCCCAGGCTGTGGCCCATGGCTAACTCCCGTTCGGCAGCTGTAGTTGCTCCCACCGCTTCCCCACTACATCGTAGATCATTCCCGGACCTGGCAGGTCCCCCTCCATCACGAACCCGTACGCATCCACGTAGGACACGAGCGTAGGCAGCGCCTGCCTCGGCTTCCCTGGCACGTTGCACTGATATTGTGACGGATGGTCAGGAGTGGTGACGGGTGCGGGCAGCCGGTTGGGACCCAGGATGTCACTGACCAGCCTGGGTTCGGGCCGTTGCATCTGCGCGAGCGCGTGACGCAGGCTCGCGTCCGAGATCCCGTTCTGCCAGTACCTTCTCGGTCGGTGGGCCCTGGACCCTAACTGCGCTGCGTCAACCGCCTGCCCCCTGCCGACGGCCGCCTCCACCTCCGCAAACGCCCTCCTCACGTGTTCCCGGCAATCCTCGGCGAAGTCCACGTTTTCCAGAATGTACAACACTTCCCCCTGCCGGTTCTGGACCATCTCCAATACCCGCTTCAGATCCCTGAAAGAGGCCCCCCGGATATCTTCCATCCCCATCCCCTCTCCTGCACGCGAGTACCCTTGACATTCCCATCCCGCGATGATGACGTCGATCTGCCCCCACTGCTCCAGTTTCTCCACCGTAATGGTCCTCACGTCATCCACCACTTCTTCATCCTCGGCTGGGATAGCAGACTCCGCTATCTGCTCCGGGTACTCTTCCAGTAGAAGCCGTGCGTGATGCTGAGCCATCCGCCGCACCACTGGGTTCCGTTCCACATGAATCCATTTCCGCACTCTGCATCCCGCCTTCAGCACTGTAGCCAACCCGGTACCGATGCCTCCGTAGAGCTCCATCACACACACCGACCCCTCGAGCGTCCATAGCCTGGAGATCCTCTCCTTCAGAGACGGCGGCTCTCTCCCCTGTTGTCTCCTCTCGATGCGGCGTTCGTACTCCTCTGCATATTTCTCCCAGCTCCAGTCATCCAGCGCAGGGCTCAAGTCAGCAGGTCGCGCCCCGTAGGCCTCCCGCGGCTCTTGCCTGACGAACTTCACGGGCAAGGTTCCGACCGAGCTGGCTGGATCCCAATAGTGTACTCGGTACAGCACTTTCTCTTTCCAGGTACAAATGGTGGCGCCCACTCGGTACAACAGGTCCATGCCCAACAACACGTCGTAGTCTTCCGACTCCGATACTCCGCAAGTCACGCGGATGCAGCATTCTTTCTCCGTCCCTGGGAGCAGTACGATTTCAATCGGCCTGACGGTCCGCGGCATCCATTTCGGCTCACCCCCTTCAGCGGTCATGAGCAGGATCCCCCTCTGTACCAACCTCCCCGGCAGGTCCAGCTTCAGCTGCTTCGCTAGGCCCCGTCCGATCAGCACGTTGTGAGCGCCAGTGTCTACGATCGCCTGTCCGACGGGCAGCCCCCCTACGGTCAGGCTCCCCTTTTCCGCGATCAGCACAGACGCCTCGCACACCAACCGCTCGTTAGGATGGCGGCGCAGCTCCGAGGTACTACTCCCCTCGTGGAAGTTACCTCTCGGTCCTCTCACGCGGCTGGAGCGGCTTTCGGTCGACTGACTTCCCCGAGGCCGCAGGTCTATTTCCCCCCTCTCTCTGGGGAGCGCCATAAAGCCGCTGGTAGGCAGGTACTCGGCTTCTCCTTCCTCGTCCTCCGCAATCTCTTCGTATGCGAGCATGGCCCGAGCTTTCGGCTCGACTCTCGGCTTTGCTTCCAACTTCAATTGCAGCTTCTTAATCTCCGCTTGCAACTCCTCCTTACTCGGGTTCTCTTCCAAGCGGCGACGGCTGTAGCAGGCGTCTTCTTTATGCCCCTTTTTCCCGCAGTTCCCGCACACCGGCAGCTTCGGGCAGTCACGCTTCAGATGACCCAGTTCTCCGCATTCGTGACACCGCCGTCCCTCTGTTCGGGGCGCTCCTCCCTGCGCCGTTTCCACCAGCGCTGCCGTTGCCCACGAGGACTTCGCTTTGGGACGGGTCTCTCCATCCTCCAAATCCAGCATCCGTTGCGCGTGCTCTGTACGTTTCGCCAGTCCATACACTTCCTTCAGCGTAATGTCCGCACCGACGCCATATACCGTGTTCCGCACCACGTTCCGCAGGTCTTCCTCCAAGCCCCTGACGAACTTGCGTACGAGCAGTCGTTCGTCGCTACTCTCCAAGTCCTTGGCCAGCTCCCTCAACCTGCAATAGTAGGCCAGCAGGGATTCATCCCTTCCCCGGCGGAACTCGCGGAACTCTTCCACCCTCGCTTTGGTCTGCCCCAGGAACTCTTTCTTTAGTAGTTCGATGAAGCGCGTGGTCGGATTGTCGGTCTCACCGCATTCCCATTCCTCGAGCACTTCACTCCGTGTCATCCGGTAAAAAGTCTCCGCTTCGCCCGCCAATGTCACTACCATCCGTCTGAAGAACTCGGCAGGGTCCAGTCCGTCCCGTTCCCAGCAGTACTGCACCGTCTCGAGCTGCATCAAGTAGTTCTTCAAGGTAGGGCCCACTCCGGGAATCCCGGTGAATCGCTCGGCCACTTCTAGTTTTGGGAGAGCGCCGCCCTGCCACCTTTTTTCATTCGGACGGGGAGGGAGCGCCATAGCCGCTGGTAACTCCGCTGATCGACTAGCCACGATTTCCTGATTCGGCGGCGTCTGCAGACCGCTGTCTGGCTGGCGGCGCAGCCAAGGCGCGTGCACCTGCGTCCGGTCTGTCTCCATCCCCGGCATCGCTCTCGGGGAGGTAGTCGCGGGCCTCCGCTCCCATCGCGCCCGCGCTTCACGTGCCCATCGCATATCGTGTGGCGTTTCTCCTGGATCTGACGCGACGGTGCGCCGCGGCTCCATCTCCTCCTGTCGGTCCCGTTCGCGTTGATGCGGGGTGCGGTAGGCCGCAGTTCTTGGCAGAGACGAGCGCGACGCTTCGGTCGCAGTTTCTCCTTCCCGGATGATGGCGGTAGCGGCGCGCCAGCTTGGCTCCGCGAGACTTTCTTTACGATAGCTCTGTCCGGATCGTAGTTTAAACCTATCGGTCATACTAACTCCGTGGCGACGGCGGGTCGCTTCCTTGCTTGTTTGTTGTAAGTCCCTAGCCACTAGATCTGGGCTAGGAAGACCTAACTCGGCTGACTGACGACCACACTCGGGGGCAACAATCAACTTGGGCTTGCTGTGGTTGGCTCCTCTGCGAAAGCAGCACCAGGGAGTAGCTAGGAACAGGTCTTTTTGCTAAGAGTGGAAACAAACAAGCAAGCAATTGAACCTACTTCGGTTGCTTGCCTAAGTAGTGGGGTCGGGTTACCGTTGCTCCACAACGGATACCTACTTTCGCTACGTCTCCTCGTTTCCCCCGCCTTGACTGCACGGCTTCCTTGACCTCATTTGTAACTCTACTCACTACTGTAATCTGTCATGGTTTTATATTGTCACTGCCTACGCTAATTAGCAATTAAAACCATGACAGGTTAGATACAGTGACGACTTGGGCAACTGCTCAATAGCGAGTCAATTGTTTGTCCTTGCTGTCACGCTGTATTTGTCAGGTCAAAGGTCGCTGACCTTTGACTTTCGCGTAACCTCCAGCAGTTGTTCAACCTCCGAGGGTTGACTCGCTGATGCTTCGATATGTTTCGCTTCGCTTCTGACTTGGTGTTTCGACACGACAGAGGCGCTTAAGTTACTTGTTTCCAACAAACTCCACTCCCACACACTAGCCCCACACATCCCCACCAACCCAACTGCCTCTAGGGCTCAACAAGAATGCCATGGCAGTCCAACTTGCATACTCCATCCAAATGTCCCTTCCTTGCACCCACACCCACTGCTCCTGCCCTGCACACATTCCGCCCTGTGAAACCCTCGGCACGGCACTCTCCCCCACCAGCAGCGGCCCCAAGCTCCCCTCCCCCCCTCTTCAACCCCCGCGTGCGTGTGGTGTGGTGCATCATACGATGGTGTAGCCACCGTCCACGACCACGTTGGCGCCCAACATGAAGCTCGCCTCCTCGCTCGCCACAAACGCCACCACATTCGCCACCTCCTCTGCCCTTCCAAACCTGGCACGCCCGCTCACAACGGTGGGGTTGCGCCGGAGAAGCGAGGGGAACAGGGATTTGCGTGAGGGAAGGGAGAAGGGGGAAGAGAGGGGAAGAGAAGGGCGCTGCATTGAGCGAGGGGAGAAAACGAGCGGTCCACTGCGCGATGGTTGGGAGGTGATGCGAGACGCAGTGCGGGGTGCGTGCAGAGAGGGAGGGGAGTGCAGAGCGCACCTGGCAAGCGGCTGCCTGGCGAGGAAGGAGTCCATGAGGCGCTGTGCGTCCGCTGGGTCCGGGCACTGCTGCGCCACGCTCTGCCCATTGGAGCACGAGAGGCGTGGCCGCGCGTGGGGGTCCGTGAGGGGACGCGGGGGGCCGCGGGGGGAAGGAGAGGAGAGTGGAAAAAACGGTTGGCGGCAGTGAGCATGGCATGGCGTGTGCTGTCATGGCATCCACCATCGCCCCACTATCAACCATCTGCACCACCACACACCCCTCATGCATCAATCCCACCATGCAAGCCCATCTCCCCCACGTCCCCCACCCCCGCGCACCTCGTGCAGCCCCGGCGTGAGCGTGGTGCCCGGGCACACGGCGTTCACGCGCACGCCCTCCGCCACCAGCCCCAGCGCCGCCGCGCGCGTCAGCGACGACACGCCACCCTTCGCCGCGTGGTACGCCGCGTATCCCGCCGACCCCACTAGCGCGAACGACGACGACACGTTCACGATGGCCGCGGCGCCTCGCTCCGCGCGTCGCAGGTACGGCAGCGCGAGCTGCGTCGCGTGGAAGACGGACGAGAGCGACGCGGCGACGACGGCGTCCCAGTCGCGCGGCGCGGTGTCGGGCAGGCTCTTGCAGCTCTGCACCGCCGCGTTGTTGACCAGCACGTGCAGCGCGCCCGCTCCGGGGGACAGCGCCGCAACCGCCTCGGCGAGTGCGGATGCGATGGAATCGCGATCGCACACGTCGCACCTGATGGGGAAACGGGAGGAGAAAGGGGAGGAAAGGGAGGAGGAAGAGGGAAAGGGATGCGGCATGTGAGGGCAAGACGCGGAGGGATATCGACGCGGGAGCAACGCGTGCTATCTACTAGTTGCGGCCACATGCTTTCCACAAAGCAGCACCGCCAAAGGCCCTTCCGCACTCATTTCCGCCGTTGCCCCCCTTCCGCGCCCTGTCAACCCCCCTCCCGCAGTACCTCACGAAGATCGCGCACGGTATGCTCTCTGCTCCGCTGCCCTCTCCCGCGCCCCGTGTCCCTTCCCCACCTTCCTCCGCGCACCCACCATGCCCTTTCTCCCCTTCCGCGGAAGCACCCCCCTCCGCCCCGCCACTCCGCCCAGCCTGTGCCGCCGTTTGCGAATCAGCGGCAACCAGCTCAGCAGCCAGCTGGCGCCCCTCCTCTTCCAACACGTCAGCAATGGCCACCCTTGCGCCCTCCGCCACGAACTTGCGCGCGCACGCCGCGCCGATGCCGCGCGCCGCCCCCGTGATGAACGCGAATTTTCCCTGCAGGCGCATGGCTTCGCCGAGTCGTGACAACGGTCGGACGGCGATGTTGCTGCCCCTGCGAGCTACACACTAGAGACGAGATCCTAGAGAACAGAAACACGCGCACGATACAGCGCCCAGAGAGCGACGGGAGATGCGAACGCGGGATGGAAGGGCGGTCTACAGGAGGTCGAAGGAGCGCATGAGCCACAGCGCGCCGACGGTCATGGCGGCGCCCACGGCGAGCGCCTGCAGCTCGCCTGCCTGCGTGAGCGGAGGGCGCGGAGCGCTGTCGGCGCGGCGCGACGCGGAGTCGTCGTCGGGGAACGGCACAGCCTCGTCGTCGAGCGGTCGGCGCTGACGGCGCGGCTCACGACCTGACATGGCTGGGTGGATGGCGGGGGAACGGCGAGGGCAGGCAAGCGGGGACGAGGATGCGCGGGAAGTGATGAACAGATGAATTCCCCCACCCAACCCAACGAGCTTGTGGTTGGGGCCGAAAACACCCTCGTTACTGTCAGTCAAGATAGGTACCGTAAAAGAGCTGAAGAGGTGCACCAGGTTGCAGATGTATACTTTCAGATCCTACATATAAGCTTAGGACAAGAAATTGCATTTGCTTGGCAGAGGGCCAACACAAAAATACAGCAACCAATGTGACGCAAACCCTTGGAACAAAACACAATGATTCTGCCTACACTCCCCCGGACTTGATAAAGCCGTCAGCAGCTGCTGCTATTGATGGAACAGTGACTCGCACACCCTTGCCCATCTGCATGCAGCCAGTGCAACACAGGACCGGACAACCCATGAAACACACGCTTTACCACCAAGGCACATCATTTGCCGCCATCAGAAAAATACGCAAAGGGAGAGAGGAAGAGGGCGTGGTGAGCGATACGATGTGCCATAGACGGTGGAGTGGGAGAGGGGTGAGAGGGAGGGACGGGGGGCGGTGGTGGTGGTGAGTGCAGCAGGTGTGACTCACAGTGGAGGAGAGCGTGAAGGTGCTGAAGTAGCCAAAGAAGCGCGAGCCTGCACTCATGCCCACACACAGACGACCAGTCACACACACACACAGGATGCCACGAGTGGGGGCAGGGATGGGAGGAGTTGAGAGCGGTGATGATTCAGAGTGCAGTGAGAGTAGAGGACCAGTTGGGGGTGACTGCAGTGGAGTGTGCCCTGGCAGTGGCGCATGTGAACATACTGCTGCCATGCCCTGCCAACCCCTGTCAGCCCCTGCCATGCCCTGCCCGGCCATGCAGCAGCACTCACTCTTCTTGAGCCCCACGGGCTTGGCTGCCAGCAGAGCCGCTGCAAACGCTGCTGCATTCTCCGCCAGGGCCTCGTCCGGGAAGCTCACCTGGTCAAGGGGTGGAGGGGGATGGTGGGAGAGGAAGGGGACGAACGGAGTATGGGATGAGACGGTGAGGAGTCTGATCTAGGAGGCTACGAGGACAACGAGGCCACGGACAAGAACCAGGAGCAGCGCAGGCATGACAGCAGTGGCGGAGGGTGCAGCACGCACCTTGCCGATGCCCACGTGCACGTTGGCCGTCTTGTCCGTCTTGAAGTCCGCCTTGCCCCTCTTGGCCGCCCTCACTGCCTCCCCCACATGCACCGTCACCGTGCCCATCTGCACGCCCCATCATGCATGCGCCATGCGGCATGCGGCATGCGGCATGCACCATGCCATGCATATGCATGCACAGTCCATGCCATTCATGCGCAGAAAAAGTGCAGAGGGGCATACACCGAAGAGTTAGTGAGTGAGCAGGTTATCAGCAGCAGCGTTGCAATGACCTGGCACGCAACCATGTGCTGTTGCTAACGTGCTGGGTACCACGGGCCAGTTGCACCGCAAACAGAACGAGTACATGTGGTGGCTGCCATGTGCTAGTGGGCTTGGCGGCAGCATACCTTGGGGTTGGGCATGAGGCCACGTGGACCAAGGATGCGCGCTATCTGAGGGGAAACGTCATAGTGGTCGTGGGGGGAGGAAGAGGAGAAATACACATTTAGTTATAAACGGTGCTAAGTGCATCTGTGCAAGAATACAGGAGAGCGTGCCAGACGTGGGTGCTAGCAGGGAGGTGCGTGAGTGATACGAATTTCATGCATGCGTGAGGTAGGGCGCACCTGACCCAGCTTGGGCATGAGCGCGGGCGTTGCTATGCACTTGTCAAAACTCAGCTTGCCACCACCTGCCATTGCAACGCCAGGAAACATGCCAGCATGGCAGCATGGCATCCCGAAGGAGAAAGTGAGATGAGCACCGGAAGGGCACGACAGGACTGTGAGGTATGCGGCTGCGCATTGAATCTCAACATGGTTGACAGGACATGCATGGGTGGCGGGAAACATCATGTGAAAGGAGTTGCGCCATGCGAACGGTGCATGGCATGTGCGAGGGGGGTATGTGCGCTCTCCCCCCCCCCCTGGCAGCACAGCACGTACTGGCTTTGACCTCCGCTATAAGGTCTGCTCCCCCCACCACGTCCGCCCCCGCTGCTGCTGCCGCCTCCGCCTCCTCCCCCTCCGCAAACACCGCCACCCGCACCGCCTGCCAGAGGGGCACGGCGCGGGGAAAGGGCAAGGGGAATGGGAGAGGGGAACGAGGGAGGGGAATTGGAGAGGGGAATGAGGGAGGGGAAATGGAGAGGGGAATGAGGGAGGGGAAAGGGAGAGGGGAATGAGGGAGGGGAAATGGAGAGGGGAATGAGGGAGGGGAAATGGAGAGGGGAATGAGGGAGGGGAAATGGAGAGGGGAATGAGGGAGGGGAAATGGAGAGGGGAATGAGGGAGGGGAAATGGAGAGGGGAATGAGGGAGGGGAAATGGAGAGGGGAATGAGGGAGGGGAAAGGGAGAGGGGAATGAGGGAGGGGAAATGGAGAGGGGAATGAGGGAGGGGAAATGGAGAGGGGAATGAGGGAGGGGAAATGGAGAGGGGAATGAGGGAGGGGAAATGGAGAGGGGAATGAGGGAGGGGAAATGGAGAGGGGAATGAGGGAGGGGAAATGGAGAGGGGAATGAGGGAGGGGAAATGGAGAGGGGAATGAGGGAGGGGAAATGGAGAGGGGAATGAGGGAGGGGAAATGGAGAGGGGAATGAGGGAGGGGAAATGGAGAGGGGAATGGCTGGGAATGGGAGAGAGTAGATGGGAGAGGGGCAGGGTGGGCAGTACACGGAGGTGGGCATGTTGCAGGCACATAGGTAGCCTGTGGACTGGCGCACGAGACGAGTGGGCACCGGTGCAAGCAGGTGAGCAGGAGTCACGGCAGTGCGGGCGGGGAGGAGCAAAGAGGCAAGCAGACCCCCCGAGATGTGGAGGTGAGGATGGGGAGAAGCGGGGAGGAAACGAGATGGCGAGATGGCGAATGCGGGAGCGGGAGACGTGGGAGGAGGAGAGGGAGCGCACTGACCTTGCCCGTGCCTCTGGGGAGCTGCGCTGATCCGCGCACCATCTGGACGCGAGGGAAGGCGGGTGGGGACAGGGGAGAGGGGGGAGGGGAGAGGGGATGGGAGGGCGTAGCCAGGGGAGGATACGGTACTTTATGAGGTGTGGGATAGTAGGGGGCACGCGGTGTGGAGGGCGGCAATAGTGGAGAGGTTGAGGGGGCGAGGGGGACGAGCAACGAGGCACGGAAAGGAGCAGATAGACGCAGAGAGGGCGAAGGCGAGGCATCACAGCCATGTGACGCGACGCTGGGAGATGCAGTGCGTTGCTGAGCGAGTGGCAGCGGGGCTTGCAGGGGGGGATGGAGGAGCGGCGCACCTGGTCGCTGCGCTTGGGGTCGATGCCCAGGCGCACATGCACCTCCACCGTCTCGTCAAACTTGGCCCTCGCCCCCTCCTGCCGCGCCCACCCCGCCACGGCACACACGCGCGACCAGCGCCACCCGCAGGGCGCGTGGGGAGGGGGGGAAAGGGGGGGAGGGTAGGGCGAAATTGGGGAGGGATGGTAGGGAGGAAGGAGAGGCGGGAAGAGGGGGGGGAGCGAAGGTGAGCGGTTGCGGATGCGGCGGTGCGGCAGTGGAGACACGAGACATGTGACGGGCACGACTTACAAGTGAGCGCAGGACTTGGGGGGGGAGGAGGGAGGTGCGCAGAGCAACGGACAGCGCGAGGCAGGATGCGGTGGCAGAATGCGGCGGGATGCGGCAGAGCGGCCCACCTTGACTTTCCGGATGGCGTCCGCCAGACTCAGCAGCTCTACGGCCCCCGCGCTGCCCTTCTTCCCCTTCCGCTTCTCGCCCTCCAGCCCCTCGCTCACGAAGCACGGCAGCGGAATGCTCCCCTCCGCCCCCTCCGCCTCCGCCTTCTCCGCCTTCTCCGCCTTCTCCCCGCCCTCCGCGCTCAGCGCTGCCACCTGCGCGGCTGTCAGGTCCTCCGGTAAAGGCGCAACCCGCGGGATCGAGCCTGCCAAATCCCCATCTCCCTCCCCCTCCTCCACCGCCTCCCCCTCCGCCTCCGGTACATCCCCCGCTTGCGCCACTCCGCGAAAGTCGCTGTCCCCTGGTGCTTCCCCGCGCGCGGTTGGCGCGGCGGAAGACGTCAACGCGCGGAACAGAAGGGGGAGGAGAGGGGACACTTGGAGGGGGAGGGAACGCGGAGAGAAGCGGGCAATCGTAGGGGCGTGGCTCGACGAAACTGCACAAGGGTGGTTAATCGCAAGGCTGAGGCCACCATCCACGTGGCATTTGGTGATTCGCTCGTTAGAAGAACCGCTTAGTCGATCAACCACACCAATCATCCCCAGAGCGCTTCGACTTGGATCGCCATGGAAGGCAGACGGGGGCTGACCGCATACTGATTCTACTCGGATCGGATTTGATACGGATCGGGTGGCGGCCCTGGACGCAACACGGAGAAGATAAGCCTGTCGCGACATGAACGGGCGCGGCGCGGCTATCAGGCGTTCTATTGAGGGAGATGGATCCGCAGCTCTTAGCGGTACGAGCGTGGAGGAGCCGAGGCGGGAAAGGGAGCGTTGGGTCGCAACGCAGGAATCGGTGGGACAACGTCGCCTGCGACAGCCGCGATGGGAACGCGAGGAAACTAGCGGGTGGAGCAGCGGGAAGGACGGAGATGAGGATGGCGCTGTGTTGGCGGTGTGGGTGGCGGCGGGAATGCAGGGGATCGAGAGGCGGCGCGGGGTGGGGGATGGTTGTGGTGGGACAAGAGGGAGGAAACAAAGGTTTGTACTCGCAAAGGATCTGCTTAGTGCTATGATGCGAGTGTACACCTAGGGGTTTGCGTGCATCCAGCATTATTTTTGTGACGCCCGTAAAAACACTAAGGTTTTCAGGTACTACCGCCTGTACAATCTCTTGCCATCACTGGGACATTTATTGGAAAACGCCGAACCAAAGCTTACAGTCCAGCTTATTAGAGACATCAAAGATCCACTTTCTTAGCGCACATGAAAAAAGTAACACTTCCGCCATGAGCTTAGTAGGGATTCAGCGTTGTGGTGCGTGCAATCAGAGCTTGGAGGGCGCAGGGTACCAGTTCCAGGGGTCACTGGATACGTACTGCGTCACCTGCTTCACTGACAGGTAGTTGTCCAGTCCCCTGCACGTACACAGTTGCAGCATGGGGACATGGGGGTGGTGGGGTTAGGATGGTGGAGAGAATGAGGAGGCATGCAGCATCATAGCATTCCTTTCCCGGAATGGTGCATGCAGGCATTGGTGGCAGTGCATGCATGAGTTACCATATGAAGCCAGCCATGTACATGTCCACTCAGCACGTGCAACAAGTGCACGCCCCATGGGCACTCACCACTTGCCCAGCTCCCTGCCGAAGCCGCTCCTCTTCTTGCCGCCCCACGGCGCCTGGCAGAAGCACGGCTGCGAGCAGTTCACCCACACTATGCCACACTCCATCGCCTGCACCGCACCGCACACACGGTATGGGGCACAGGGCACGGCCCACAGGGCACAGGGCACAGGGCATGGAGAGGATGGCATGTCGTGGAGGAGCAACGGGGTGCACATCGAGATAGGATAGGATAGGGGCAGTGCGTGGAAGGTGTGAGGCTGTACACTCACCTCTGAGACGCGGCGGCACCTGTCCTGGTCGCCTGATATCACTGCTGCCGCCAGCCCATAGCTGATGTGCGCCCACCCACACATGCATTCATGGAACAGCACAGAGGAGGCCGGCACCCATGGAGGGCGCGGGGTGAGAAAGGGACAGGGAAGAAACACAACGAGATGAGATTAGTCGCAAGCGTACAGGAAAGGTGCAGCGACGAGAAAGGAATGTGGAGCAGGTCAATCCAAAGGAAGAGAGCACAGCAGCAGCGGTGGCGGCGGCAGCAGCAGCGTACGTGGAGTCATTGGCGAGGGCGATGGCGTGCTGTTCATCAGAGAAGGTGTGCATGGCGAGCACAGGGCCAAACACCTCCTCCTGCCATACGCGCATGCCCGGTGTCACGCGCAGCACCGTGGGCTCCAGGTAGTAACCACGCGCCAGGTGCTGGTGGGGAGGGCCAAGGGGAGGTGGGCGAATGGAACAAGGGGAGGCGGGAGGTGTGTTAGGAACAAGGTGTGGGGGGGTGGATGACGCATGGAGCAGGGCCAAGGGGCGGAATGGACCAGTTGCTTACAGCTCTTCACCTGTACCACGATGCTCCGTCCAACCGTCCCCCCACCCTGCCCTCCCCATCCGTCCGCGCAACCCCTTCCCCTCTCTCCCCACCCTCACCTGAGGCCGCTTCCCCCCGCACAGCACCTCAGCGCCCTCCGCCTTGGCGCCCTCTATGAACGCTGCCACCTTGTGGTACTGGGGGGCGGTGGGGGGACGGGGAGAGGGAGAAGATGGACGGTCAGGTCAAGTCGTTCATGGAAGGCTTGCCATGTATGAACAGAATGAGCAATGGGGGGTGCAAGTCCAATCATGAGAGGCCAAGCGGAAGAGGCACAGGGAGCACCAACATCCAGCCATTCTCCCACACACCGCTTTCATTGCTTTCCCGTATCACCCTCCAACCTTTCCCCTTCCCTCTTTCCCTCACTAACTCGCACCCGTGCCGCATTCCCCCCCTCGCTCACTGGCAACCCTGTCCGCCCTCACACCTGAGCCTCGCTGACGAGGGGCCCGAGGCGGCAGCCGGGTTCAAGCGGGTCGGAGATTCGAATGGCCTGCGCCCACTGCACCAGGCGAGCTAGGAACGCTGGCGCTATGCGCTCCTGCCGTGGCAACGGGGTGGGGGGTTGGGGAGCGGGTGGGGAAGAACGGATGGAGGTGTGATGTGAGGTCAGGCACTGCTGTATGGGAAGACGATGAAGGGAGCACAGGAAAAGCAAAAATGATTAGGAAAATGGGAGGGGATTGGGGTGAGAGACTGGGTGAAGGCAGGGTGGTGGGGAAAGGGTGAATGAGGTGAAGGGCTGCAAGCAGCATGTGCGGTGGAGAGAGGGATGTGGTGCAGGCACAGTGCAGTATGGCTCTCATTTCCCATCCACCATCCCTCTCCCATGCACCATGCCCCTCACATGCATACGCCCCTCACATGCATACGCCCCTCACATGCATACGCCCCTCACATGCATACGCCCCTCACATGCATACGCCCCTCACATCCACCATGCCCCTCACATCCACCATGCCCCTCACATCCACCATGCCCCTCACATCCACCATGCCCCTCACATGCAGCAGCAGGCGGGAGGTGGCACTGCAGATCTGGCCGTTGGTCCAGAAGCACCCGAACATGGCCCACTCCACCGCTGGTAACGGGGAGAGGCAAAGAGTGGGGAGGGGGGCAGTGGGGAGGGGCGCGGGGAGGGGGTTAGACGAGGAGCATGGTGTGGATTGGCGCGCGGTTATAGAAATTTTGAAAGAAAGCAGAGAACAAGGGAAATCAGGAGGAGGTGGGCATAGGGGAGGAAGAATAAAAAGAACGAGGAGGACGTGAGGAAAGAACTCAATGCCTGAACACGGAGAGGAAGAACAAAGGGAAGGATGAGCAGAACCGGCAAAGACAAATCTCCTCCCCACTCCCATCTCCCACAAGAACCCCTACCACCCCCTTGCCTCGCCCACCACCCTTCAACATAACCACCAGGTCCAAAACAGCACGCACATTGCCACCCTGCATGCATGCATGCGTGCCCCCGTGCAGGGTGCAGCAGGAGCAGGGCCAGTGCATGTGCAAAGAAGCATGAGGGCGTGTGAGCGGGCGCACCTTTGTCGATGTCCACGTCGTCAAACACCAGCAGTGCGCTCTTGCCGCCCAGCTCCATGGTCACCGGCTGCTCTCATGCACCACCGCACAGCAACGTGGTGACACCATGGCAAGGGAGCAAGAGGAAGAGCATGAGGAGTGGTGGCAGGACGGTAAGTAGAGGGAAAAGAAGGCAATGTGTGAACAGACATTAAGTGTCTGACAAGCAAAGCAAGCATAGGGTGGGGGGAAGGGAATAGACATGGAGAATAGGAGGGGAAGCTTCCTCCGAAGACAACTAGGAGTTGTAAGGGGCGAGCCATAGCAGGGAGGGAATGAGCATGGGGTGGGTGGGTGGCATGCAGTGGCACAAGCGGCACATACAATGAGGTTCTCAGCAGCGGCACGCAGCACGAGCTTCCCCGTTGCACTGCTGCCCGTGAATGCAATCTGCAACCACCACACCACACACATGCGATGTCGAAATTGTTGCCGTTAGACGCAACAAATCGAAGGATCACACCCAGCAGGTCGTCAGAAATGCAAGAAACTAAATCACCGCGATTCATTTTCTGCCGAATCATTGCAAACGTCTGGTTTGCAGCCTGAACACAAGGCTGCAGCGATGTTTCCGCTGGTGTTTGCTTCATGTTTCCCTTGGATGCCAGCTGAGAGGTAGGCTGAGCAGGCACAAGCATATACATATATATGCGCCAAGCCACCACCACACCCTCGACACATGCTTGCGCATGCACACACGATCAGGCAGAGGGAATTCGAGGAATGAAGAGCGTAATTGAATAGTGGTATCGAACAGCAGTCACGCGGCAGGCCAAAGTGGATGGATGGCAGCGTGGGTGCAACATGCGGGGAAAGGGGACACAGCACTGGATGCATGAAGATACGGCTGAAAAGGGGTGCCAGAGAGCATGAATCAGGCCAGTCAGGCCAGATATGCGCAGCTTCTTTGAACATGCACCCAGAGCTTGCAAATGCATTATGCAACGGGGTACAGTCACCAGCTTGCCTCACTGGTACCCTTCCCCCCACACCACAGCCCCACAACAACAACCCCCTCCTTTCCCCGCGCATCTCAAACACCCCTCTTCCTCCCTGGTCCTCCCCAACCCCTCTCTATCACCATGATGTGCCTTGCAGCCCGAGTGGCAACAAGTGGCGGTGCGCACCTTATCGAGCCCCTTGTGTGCGGTGAGGGCAGCGCCGGCGTCCGCGCCCAGCCCCGTGAGCACGTTCAGCACCCCCGCTGGCAGCTGCACCGCCTCCGCTATCGCTCCCAGCTCCAGACACGTGCTGAGGGGCGGGGGAGGGGGTTGAGGGGAAGGAGGGAGGATGGTAAAAACGGTCAAATGAGATGGGGAAGGAGGAAAGGGAAGGCAGACAGGCTGGGGAAGGCCGTGGTGGCCACAGGTATAGTCGTTGCGAGGGACACAAACGTTACGAAATGTAGTGCTGATTGATGGCTGGGACAAGAAAAGCAGTGGCGCAAGTGCAGGCTGATTGGGACGAGAATGTGAAGGGAGATTACACAGCAAACATGAAGCATGTGGGTGACGCGAGAGGGTGAAGCCAGAGGGGTGCAGTGTGAGGGCGCACTGACAAGCGCGAGCAGGTGAAGCGGGAAGTGCGGAGGGGGCGGGGGAGGGAGGGAGCGGGGGAGGGAGGGAGGGAGGGAGGGAGGGAGGGAGGGAGGGAGGGAGGGAGGGAGGGAGGGAGGGAGGGAGGGAGGGAGGGAGGGAGGGAGGGAGGGAGGGAGGGAGGGAGGGAGGGAGGGGGAGGGAGGGAGGGAGGGAGGGAGGGAGGGAGGGAGGGAGGGAGGGAGGGAGGGAGGGAGGGAGGGAGGGAGGGAGGGAGGAAGGGGAGGGAGGAAAGGGAGGGAGGGGAGGGAGGGAGGGGAGGGAGGGAGGGGAGGGAGGCATACAGCGAGGCGAGTTCGGAGGGCTTGAGCACGACAGTGCAGCCCGCTGCCAGTGCTGGCGCCACCTTCCACGCCGCCATCAGCATCGGGTAGTTCCTGCCATGCCATGCCATGCCATGCCATGAAGAGACGATCATGCCACCCCAATGCGAAGGCCAGGACATTGCATGGCAAAACCACCAACCACTGGGAGTCAGCAGTAATGAAGAGCTCAGGCGGCAGCAAGCATGCGAAGCACCGGTGGCAGTGGTGAACAGTTGAGCAGTCCCCATGAATGCAGCGCTCACCAGGGCGTGATGAGCCCCACGACGCCGATGGGCTCCTTGCGGATGCGGCATGCAAACTGCTCCATGGGCAGCTGCAGCGGCGCGCCCTGCTCCGCGTCCAGCTGCTCCGCCAGCCCCGCGTAGTACTCAAAACACCCCGCCACGTCATCCTGGGGGGGTGCGTGGCGCGCGGGAGTGCACGGGGTGGGGGAGCAGGCGTGAAGCATGGCCGTCAGCGAGAAGGGAGGGAGGGAAGGCGAGGCCAGGGGAGACGGATGATGGAGGAATGGACGGCCACGACGCAATTGAGAGGAGGAAGCGGACGAGCAGGGGAAGTCAAAGTCAACTGAAGCACTCCCCATGCCATCCCACAAAAATCGCCAGATGCTGTGGCAGGGCAGGGCGGCACGCACCATGTCCCAGGCGGCCTCGTCCAGTGGCTTGCCGCAGTCCATGGCCTCCATGCGCGCCAGCTCGTCCTTGCGCTCCACCACCTGCTCACGCCATACGTGCGCTCCCCCATGGCAACGTCAGAATATAAAAGACCATCCATCAGCAAAGAGCACTGTAAAAGTTGTTGGGAAGAGATTCAAAAATATACCTTTAACTTTCTGTTGGATTCGTATTTTCGTCATCACGTGCTCTGCCCTTTTGCACCCACCCACCCCCTCGTCCGCCAAGCGCGCACCTGAGCGGCGATGGCCTTTAGGAACTTGGCGCGGTAGCTGCCGGTCGTCTTCGGCCAGTCCGCCCCGCCGTTACGCTGGAACGCGCCCCTTGCCGCCTGCACCGCCACGTCCACGTCCTCCGCCGTCGCCGCGGGGATTGTGCCTGCCAGCAGCGCGCGGGAGGGAAAGAGTCGGAAAAGGAAAACAGAGTGCGTTCAGGTCTGCTGATGAACGCGCTTCGCGCAACAGTGCGGGACTTATTGAGACCGCTCGCGTCGTGCCGCGAACGGGATTATATGGCATGCGGCGTGAAGGGCGTGATGGATTCGTGGCGATGCTGCCGCGTACGCCGCGTGGACTCACTTGAAAAGCGATATGGTGTCGACGCGATCGGAGGAAGGGCCTCGTCGCGCGGAATGATTTTTTTTCGGAAAGAAAACAAACAAAGAAACTCGAAGGCGTACACACGCTCGCGTACCGATAGTTTCCTCCGTGGAGGGATTGACGACTGGCAGGCGGCCATCCTTGAAAGGAGCCGTCCACTTGCCGGCCACAAACAGATCCCGCGCTCGGAAGGCCTGAGCGGCCGCCATGTTAGCTTCAAGTGGATTGGTGGGTTGGTGGCAGCGGCAAAGTTACGCCACAGTCACAAGCAAGTCAACACGCTAGAAATATTTCGAGCAGACTTGTATTTTGAATGAAACCGTCGGTTCGCTGGAGAACGCTGAGGGAGAAATGGAGAGACAACCTCCTCAGGTTCCGCGTGGTGTGGTCACTTGTGCCCCCAAGCGGATGACACCAAGGATGCGCGAACGGGTGTAACGTCAAGGTTGTCCCGAGTAGCGAGCGACTCGTCTTGTTGGCTGAAATGAAAGGAATGCAATCCACTTCAGCAGGTAGACACGAAAAGACTGAAGGCAAACTGGCCAGCAGGACATATGATTCCAAGGTGAGGGTGTGAAAACATCCAGCAGCAATCCGAAATCCGTACTTCTAGGAAGGTTGAAAACGGTAGTATGGGTTAAAAAAGGCTTAATCTACGGTTCACGGCGGTGGCTACCCGACCTGAGGGATCATACTCTGGATGTACTTCGTCAGAAGTTACAACATGTTACGAGTGCAATTGAGTGAACGAACGAGAATTGCACTATCGAAGCAAGAGTACAATGAGCGAAGGCATGAGCGAAGAATATATAGCGAAACTACAGTGGTAACGGTAATGGGCTATGGTTGTCGCGCGACGGGCCTGGGACTGAGGTTGGGGAAAATGTCGAAGCGGAGGCCCGGAGCGCGGGTTACCCGCCGAGCCGTGAGGTCAGGGTGCGACGTGCGAAGGTGGCGGGAGGATTGTCGATGCGTGGGTTGCGAGTGGTAACGGTGCTGACTGTGGTGCTACAGTGGTGTACGCGCTGAGCGGGGACGCGAAGTAAGGAAAAGGAATTTTCCTTACACTACCCCCCCCCCCCTAAGGAGGTCCTCCTTACGAAAGTGCGTGTACATCCCTGAAGTTTCGGCTGCGCAGATACTCGGTGAGGACGGGGTGGTTTTCGATTCTGTCCAGGGGAACCCAGTTGTCTTCGGTGGGTGTACGGTCCTTCCAGCGGATCAGGAACTCGATCCTTCATGCCCCGCGAGGGTCGCGAACTCTGTGTCTCAGAATCTTCTCGGGCGTGATGACTGGTTCAGTCAGTGGTCGTGTCATGCTGGCTAGGCGATAACGTGGGAGCTGGCTTGTGGATGGGACGTAGGGGCGAAGCAAGCTGACGTGGAACGAGGGGCTGACGTACCAGTCAGCAGGGAGGAGGAGGTGGGCGGTGACGGGTGTAATCATGTGGCTTATGCGAAATGGCCCGCAGTATCGGGGGCGGAGTTTTCGGGCGATGGGCAGTCGGAGGTTCTGAGTGTCAAGTAAAACTAGGTCGTCGGGTTGGTAAGTGACGGGTCTGCGGTGGCGGTCAGCGTTACGTTTAGCGATGTTTTGGATTTTTTACGTCTGCTGCCCGGGTCCGTGCTGCTTGTAATATTTCGGCGAACTGTTGTGCTCGTGGCACTGGGTTGTCGGGATTCGGGGTCATGGGTACTGTTGGGTCTTGTCCGTAGTTTAGGTAAAATGGTGACTGTTGGGTCGTGGCGGATGGTGAGTTGTTGTACGCGAATTCGATGAGTGGCAGTTGCTGTTCCCACGTGGTCGGGTCGTCGCACGTGGCCCTGATGAGCTGTTCCATGGTCTGATTTGTCCGTTCTGTCTGTCCGTCGGTTTCGGGGTGGTATGATGAACTGAACTGCAGTCGCGTGCCGAACTGCTGCCACAGGTTCCGCCAGAAATTGCTGGTGAATTTCGTGTCGCGGTCGCTGATGATCGCTGCTGGTATCCCGTGTAATCGGACGATGGTGGCGATGAAGAGGCGGGCTGTTTCTTCGGCTGTAATTGATTTCTTGCAGGCTGCGAAATGTGCCATTTTCGTCAGTCGATCGACGACGACCAGGATCGCGTCGTTCCCACTCGCTCCGGTCGGTAACCCCGTAACGAAGTCCATCGTCACCTGCTGCCAAGCACGCTCTGGGGGTGGGATCGGCTGCAACTGTCCTGCCGGCCGCTGCCGTGATGATTTCATGAGCTGGCAAGTGGGACACGATGCCACGTGTCGCTGTACGTCGGTTAACATTTCGGGCCAGTAATAATACCGCTGCAGCTGGTGCCGTGTTTTCTCTACCCCGAAATGTCCCGAGGTAACTCCGTCGTGTGCCTCCTATAACAGTAATTCTCGTAGCAGTGTATACCCAGGCACCCAGATGCGGTCGGTCCCGGCTTTTACGTAATAGACTCCCCTTGCTACTGCGAACTGCTGCGAATTTCCTCCTGTGAAGAATGGATCCGTTTGGTACCCGTGGGTAAATAGGCCTGTCAGTAGGGGGCTGGTCTGGGCAAGTAGTATGGCATGGATCTGGGCAGTGGAGCGGGTCAGTGCGTCGGCGATGTTCGAGGCTCCCTTTTTGTAGGTGACCGTGTAGTGAAAATTTGACTCGAGGAAGTCGAGCCAACGAATCTGTCGTGGGTTGAGGTGTGGCTGTGCGCGGAGGTACTGTAGTGATTTATGGTCTGTCCGTACTGTCACGTCTGCGCCGGTCAAGTAACAGCGCCACACTTTGAACGCGTGCACGATCGCAAGCATTTCGCGGTCGTGTATCGGGTAATTTTTCTCGGGCGGATGCAGTTTTCGTGACTCGTATGCGATGGGCTGTAGGCCGTTGCCGAAGACTTGTAGCAGTACGGCTCCGATGGCGATGTCGCTGGCGTCAGTAACTACTTCGAATGGGCGGTGTGGGTCAGCGATGCGCAGGACGGGCGGTGAACAGAGAACAGTTTTCAGGGCAGAGAAGGCAGCATGCTCTTTCTCCCCCCACATAAAATCGACCCCCTTCCGTAATAAGTCCGTCAGTGGCGCCGTCAACCGTGCCATGTCGGGGACGAACCGACGCACGTAGTTTACGAACCCTAAGAAACTCTGTAGTTCCGTAATATTCGTCGGAGGGTGCCAGGCTTGTGAAGAAACGAAGAATGAATGAACTAGCACAAGGTTGGGTACAAGTAGGAAACCCTAGGAAACTGTACCCCATAGTGTCTACCCCACTATAGCCTAGACAAGCTATATGATATGAGTTTGACACACCCCCATAGGCAAAGTGGGGGAGAACAAGAGGTCACAAGACCAGTCAAGCAAAGCAAAGCAAGCTCAGGGTGGATCACAACGTCACCACACAATCCGAGCACAAGAGCAAGGCCACAAGGCCAGTTCACATGCAAGATCATATATAAAGGTAAACAGGCAAGTGCAGGTATAGAAAGATCACAGTACAAGCAAGGTCAAGAAGTGAGCAAGTGAGGCCAAGTAGGCACAAGACCTAGCATCGTACAGAAGTGCTGATGATCACCAGGCGGAAGTGCCTTGGTAAAGATATCTGCAGTGTTGGCCTCAGAGGCCACGTAAGCAAGGCGCAGCTGACCACGCTGCTGCAGCTCACGAGCAAGGAAGTAGCGAAGAGCAATGTGCTTCGTTCTGTGCTCCAGTCTGTGCTCCTGACACAAGGCCAGCATGGCCTTGTTGTCTACGTACAGAACTGGAGGAGAACGAGGCGGCTCTCCTAGGTCAGTCAGCAGGTAGGTGAGCCAGCATAGCTCCTGTGCAGCCATGGCTCCCGCGTAGATCTCAGCCTCACAGCTGGAGCCGAGAACAGAAGACGAGCGGGTAGACCGCCACGAAACAGAGCCGGAGCCAAGGCTGAAGGTGTAACCCTGTGACGTCCGCTGCGTAGCCTGGTCGTCAGCCCAAGAAGCGTCTGCGTGACCTGTGAGGACCACTCGACGTCGCCCTCCAAGCACTAGCCCCATGCCCGACGTACTGCACAAGTAGCGCAACACCCTCTTTGCTGCAGCCATGTGCTCTGGTCGGTGTCTCCCAGGAGCAACATAGCGTGCCAAGATGCTAAGAGGGTATGCAAGGTCAGGTCGTGTGCAGGTCATCAGGTACATGAGGCAGCCAACAAGCTCTGGGTACGGGCCACTCGGCTCTACGGACTCATCCGAAGGCAGAGCTGAGAGCGAGTGGCGAGTAGACAGAGGAGTGGCCTGAGGCGAGGAGTACGTGAAGTCGAAGCGCTGAAGGACCTGCTGCACCATGTGTGATTGAGTCAGGGTAATGGTGCGCTGTGCTCTGTCCCGGGTGATCTGCAAGCCAAGGTAGCTGCGCAGTTCACCCAGGTCTGTGCACGTGTGTCTCTTCTGCAGCTCGGACTTCACGTGGGCGAGTCCAGCAGTGTCAGCAGTGGCAAAGACCAAGTCGTCGACGTACACGAGGATGTAGAACGGCGGCAAAGAGGTGTCGGTGCGCAGAAACAGCGACGGGTCGGCTGTAGAAGGAGCAAACCCAAGAGCCGCAAGTGTAGTCCTCAGTGTGTCGTGCCACTCACGGGGCGCCTGGCGGAGACCGTAGACTGGCCGCCGGAGGCTCCACTGGGTACCAGGAGGAAAAGACCCAGTGAAGCCAGGTGGGCGGCGCAGCCAGATCTCCTCATGCAGGCTGCCCTGCAGGAAAGCTGTGCTGAAGTCAAGAGAGTGAAGCTCGTAGTCGCGCTGAGCGGCTATGTGCAGCAGCACCCGAAGAGTGGTCATCTTCGGGGTGGGAGAGAAGGTCTGAAAGTAGTCAACTCCCTGTCGCTGACTGAAGCCTCGAGCCACGTAACGCGCCTTGAAGACAGGCGGAGAACCCGGCGGCCGCTTCACCCTGAAAATCCACATGCCACTGACGATGTTCGCCCCAGGTGGGGGAACCTCGTCGACGTAGGTGCCTGTGGACTTCCAGGAAGCCATCTCTGCGTCCATGGCTGACTGCCACTGAGAGGAGTAGGGACCCTCGATCGCCTCAGCGTACGATCGAGGAGTCGGGATGTCTGGTGCATCCGGGTCTCCCTCAGGGGCAATCAGCGTGGACACGAGATGAGGCAAAGCAGCAGCAAAACACTGTAACTCCTCCTGCATGTCCTCAAGGACGTCCGTGCTAAGAGCACACTCACCCCCGACGGACGGAGGACAGAC